TTCTTGCACAACCTCATCCTGAAGCCTGCTCCTCATTCCTCCCCACTGCCCTGCAGCAGCACTGTCTCCGGCCAGGGAACCACTGACCCATAGGGAAGCCCTTTGCGCAGATAAACCTACAAACTGCAGGATGGATGTTAGCTTCCCTGGTGCACACACTCCCTCAAAGTACAATGTAGCCGAGGACAGACACCACAGGGAGAATGGCGCTCTAGAAGCTAAGAGGCCAGCTGTCATCCAGGGCTTGACGACAGGTCAGGGCACCAACTGGACATGATCTGGTTTGAATCAGTTCTCTTCCACCTCTTAATCTGCAACATGGTAATGACTATCCTGCCAGAGGACAGTGACAGTAAGTCAAGCATCCAGAGCCCAAGCGTCTGCTTGCTCCTATCAGAGTCAAGCAACTTAGCAGAGAATCCTGTTACTGTGTGTCACCTCCTGACGTCGCTGCTTCTGAACTCTTTTCTAAGGCTTTCTTACAGAAGAGCTTTACTGAATAAACTCTACAGGGTAGCAACAGCGTGAACTGGTAATTGCATGGTAAAATAATAACCAGTTATGCAGAGCAGCAAGGACATACTGCACAGCTGCAAAGCAATTCAAGTCTGAGTAGCGGTTGTCTGTCCTCCCCCTTCACGCCCACCCTCTCCTTAACACGGGGTGCAGGCCTCAGAGAGCCCTCCACTTCCGGCTTTCCTTCCAATGTTTGAATCTCCTTTGTTTCCAGATGGTGACTGTTCAACATTCCAAGGAGTAGAATACACTGCCCTCTAGCCCATTTCCCCAGTTCATGAAAACAGGCCTCTAGCCACTGTAATGAGTCTTTCTCTGCCCTTCCAGCCAGCTCCCAAATAACGACATGGATTCTTATTAATAATGAAAGCTCAGCCTTAGCGTAGGCTTGTTTCTAACTAGCTCTTATAACTTAAATTAACCCATTTCTACTAATCTACATGCTGCTATGTGGCTTGTGGCTTTTACTTCTCTTCCTGCAAGTCCTCTTTTCTCTGCATCTGGCTGGCGACTCCCACTTTGTTCTTCCCAGAGCTCTCTCTGTCCAGAAGTCCTGCCTACACCTCCTGCCTAGCTTATTGGTCACTGAGCTTTTTATTAAGCCAATCACAGTATCCTTACACAATGTAATAAAATATCACACAACAAGCCACCATCAGTCCCCCTTGAGTGCAGTCTGCATGCTAAGTCTCCAAGCTTGATGAAGACAGCAATGATCTGGGCCATGTCTGACCATCCTAGTATGTAGCACCTAACACCACCTAACTCGGTACTAGGGTTAGGGCTCAGAGGGTAAAAGTGCTTGCTGCACAAGTATGGGGACCTAGGTTTGAACTGCCATACCTTTGTAAAGAGCCAGGGGAGGAAGCCTTGCACACACCGCTAATCCCAGTACTCTGGGCAACAGAGATAGGAGGGATGCTGGTCACCAGCCTAATGCCAAGGTCAATGAAAGACCCTGTCCTAAAGAAATAAGGGGGAGAATGTGGAGCAGGATACCTGATGTCCTCCTCAGGCCTCTGCAGGCCGGTGTGCACATATGCACGTACACATACGGCACACACGTACATACATACACACGGGAAGGAAAGAAAGCCTGGTAGTGTTCAATATTTAAAATAAGCACATGCATCAATCAATCAATGCAGGAATCTGGCTTCCAGTTATATCTCCCTGAACACTGGCTACATAGATGACATTAGGTCAATTCACTTCACCTCTGGGGAAGCTGTGTGGTTGGATTTCACTTGTATTATGTCTAGGTTCCCCTCCAACTCTCAGCAGAGTCACAGAACTTCAGCGAATGGTAAAAGATACCCATGCAAAAGCCCAGCTCTTGCTCTTTGATACATTTTAATCTAAGGCAAGCAGTAAGGGAGTCTTCTAAAACCTCAGACCTGAAGTCCACCCTTGAAGGAGGGTACCCTGCTAAGGACAAAAGATTCTGGGCAGCAGACTAGCTCAAGATACTGAAAACCTCTCCATGAGCACCATGGAGTCTGAATTCACAGGCTTCCTTTGGGTCCTCCAAAGAGGCCCACAGGGGAACCTGCCGCTCACCCCTCCTTCCCAGGCACCTCCACATCCAGCCCGAAAAATCAAAATGGGCTCAGGAAGACTATTCTCCCGCACTCCTCTCCCTGCAGGTTGCCTCCACATGCATATTTTACAATTCCAGCATATTCCCTCCGTATCTTACATCCGGCAAGGCATCCCTCCGCTGCCTGGAATATTTCTGCCTGGCAAATGTTCCCAGGAGGCATGTCCTTGAGCTTCAGGTTATTATTGGAGGGTTGACCTCTCCTAGTGGGCGCCCTCACCTGGTCTGTGCCCTCCTCAAGAACAGAGACCACACCCTCTGTTCTCCTAGGATAGAGATGGGCAGGGCACAGGCAGACCAAACCAAATTCTGTTAAATACATTAATGAAAAAATTAAAGTCACATTAACCTATTTCCCGGACAAAGGTTACTAAGGCCTCGGCTCTCAGGTACACGGGCATAATAAATTAGAAACTTAAATAACATTTCTATGGCTCTATTTTCTTAGAGCTGAATAAAATGCCCTCACTAGAACAGCAACACGGATGGTATAATGTGGTATAATTCTTATTTCCTAGTAACCAGCGGGCTTCGCCTGGAGCTGGGGAGGATGAACAGGCACTCGGCCCTTCATGTTAGTTGTCCCTACTCTAACACGAAGTTCCAATTGGAACTTGAAGCTGAAGTTCCAATGCTCAAGGGAACCAGGAGATAGGAGGATTTTTTTTTTTCCCTAAACAGAATGCTTAAAGATCCTGCCAACTGGGTTTACTGAGCTGGATCTAATTCTGGTCACATTCCTTCCTTGTGATTTAATACATGATGGCTAAAACCAAGCTGACTTGGGAATACTCTGTTTGCCCTTCCATACACTTGCTGGTCACTGATGGGAACAGAATAAATCAGTGCCAACAGTCAACCCGACACTGCCAGAAGGAAAACACAGCGTTCCGAGAAACCCTTAATAGAGTTTAACGTTGTAAGTACCATTAGCCTCCCTACCGAGAGTTCACCTACACACATTTGTTAATAGCCAAAGAAATCAATAGCCTTGCAGATAAGCATAAACTTTATACAATGTAAAATACCAATATCAAAGAAAAACTAGACTGTATATGAAGTCGGAGATAATGCTACAAAATGAGGAGATTCGATGAGTATTTCTGAGACCTGAAAAGAGTAAGTTTTCAAAGAGCAGACTGAAATGAATAATAATTAGTGTTTGCAGGCTGTGTCTGTGTGGTGGTTAGATGTAACCCCCCAATCAACTGAAACCACAGCAGGCCACGGGGATCCAAGACGCTGTAAAAAGCCAAAGTGGAAAACTCCACTTTGAAGCTAACCAATATACTTGCTCAAATGACATAAGCTGTTAGGAGCATTCACCTTTATTTATTCCACTGACAGAATCAAAGCATTTTAACAGTGCGGCACAACCACAGTGCATCAGCATCCTTCATGGTACGGGAGAGGCAGAGCTGGGGCACCGCCGGCCCCTACTACACTAGTCAGGGCACTGCCAACCCCTCTCCTCGATTCAGTTTCCTGTACAAACCATTAAGTCTAAAACCTAAGTCAGTAAATATATATGCACTCATGAGCTTGACGAAAGCAGGATACAGGATGCAGAGCCAGTCTGGATTCAGGATGGCTAAGACAGGTGACTTTCCCAACCCAACCGCAGATCGACACGAGAGCACATCCCTTCAGAAATAATTACTGAAGCAGGCGACTTCATGGTAAGGCCAAAAGCTCTACAATAAGGATTACATTCAAATAAATCTGTCTGGGAGGTACTAAGTGTTTCAGGAGGCTCAGCTTTAACGGGGGAAAAAAAAATCTGTAGAATCACCTATGACTAAGCAATGGCAAAAATAAATAAATAAATAAAATTGGAAATGTGAGGAGTTTGAGGACCACAAATGCCTACACATACAGGTAAGCTAGCATTTTCCATCTATTGTGTCTAGTGAAAATGGGGAGTCCTTGTGGTAAAATAAAAAAAAAAGTGGGGGAGGTTAAATTAAAAGTTTCACTGATTTACAGGGATTTTTCAAGCAGTATTTTAATCTACCTCTACCCCACCTACTTATTTTCTAGGATAATCACTCTGTCTACTGGGCCGGCAACCGGCCAGACTAAACTTTAAACAATCATTCTTGCACTTCCTTCTTTATCTGATTAAGTATCTCACAGAGCAGACTTTTAGAGCGGTAATCTAACTCTTAACTAAGGAAATCAAGACTTAATAATCACGTAGAACGCACGTGCTATGTGCATCTCAGTCATATGCAGTTTTCCTTAAAGTATGACAACTCTAGCAATTTAATTACCCTTAAAAAGAAAAGAAAAAAGAAAACTTCCTAAAAGAATTCAACACTCTACAAGCAGAACAGCTAAAAATAGAAAACACAATTTATAGATTCCTAAAATGAAATTAACCACAGCATGGGGGGGGGGGGAAGAGGACACACGAACACAGGTTTAATTACAAATGTAAAAGTATTTGTAGCACCCTAGGCTAAAAAGCGACAATTAAAACAATTAACTCTAACCTAACAGGACAAGCGTGGTTTACTGTTCTCTTTGCTCAGGTGTAGAACTAAAGAAATGGACTTGCTGGGGACGAGAGGGTGGCGAGCAATTCCTTTAAACGTGTTTCCTTCAGACGCCAGGTCAGCAAATCAAAGTAGTCTAAACTCCCATAAAAAAACCATAAACCGACACAATGTCCCAAGTCGGGAACCTATAAACTCGGGAAAGGGGCCCCTGGAGCCGACAGCTGCGGCAGGGGACTGGCTCCCCTGTTTCCCCCTTGCCAGCTGCTAGCGCAGGCAGTGCGATCCCTGCGCGTCCACCGGGTCCGAGCCTGGCGGTCACCTGCCCGCGCGTCTCCCACGGGCGCACGCGCCGCGCGCGTCTGCCGCGATCCCGCCCCGCTCACCGCCACGAAGCCCGAGGACGAGGCGACGAACACGCGGACCACCATCCTCTCGCTGCACCAGGGGCGGCCACTGACGCGGACGCAGAGGCGGAACGCGGCCGAGGCTACAGCCGACCCGCGACCGTCGGAGAGGACCAGGGCGACGCGTCTAGCACCCGCCGCTCCGCGGATGAAAGCCCAGCGCCTCCGCCGCGGGCTGAGCGGGAGGCGGGGTGGGGCCCGGCGGCCGCGGGACCTGATGGGAGTTGTAGTTTTCGAGGCGCCCAGCGTGACAAGGCTCTGGGGTCCCTCCAGCCCAACCTGCTTCTTGTGTATTAACCGTACCTTAATCGACTTAGGGAGGATCCAGAGGCTTGAGAAGCTACGTGGTGGGAAGTCAGAGTACAAGGGAGAAGCAAATTAAACAAAGGGCTGGGTTCAGAGTCCAAGCTGGGGCTTTGTATGCTGAGGAGCCGGGCGGAGCAGGGAGCTGCTGAGACCCACTGTTTGAAAGCAGCTTTGCCCCAGAGACCTGGGCTGGCTCATGGTTCTAACGTGGTGGAAGTGGGTTGAGCTGTTTTTTATTTTGTTTTGTTTTGTTACCTGCAGTTCAGGAAACTGTGGAAACATGATTTTTTTTTTCTCCTGAAAGTGGTTTTAATGTGTAGGCCAGGCTAGCCTAGAACTCACTATCCTCCTTCTGCCTCCCTAGTACTGGGATTACAAGCAGGCAGCACCACGCCTCATTTGCAAAGGGAATCTCTTAGGTAAATGAAAGAGGCTTTCATCTTTATTCTAAAGACACTGAACATTGGAAACTCAGATGAGAACATGGTATTTTATTTTTCTCAGCAAAACTGTAATTGTAGTAGAAAAAAATAAGTACTGAGAGAAATGAAAATCCCCCTATCGACACTGGGAATCAGAAGCCACCCACCCCAACCCCTACCCTACACAATGGCTTTGGTTCTATGCTCCTACTGATATTTACAGTTGAGCCAAATCTGTGCCTTTTTGAAAATCACTGTGCATTCCAGCGCGGTATCCCAGGAGGATACCGTTAAAGGGAAAGCATTTGTGCAGTGGCTAATAGGTTACGAATAGTTCTTCAGCAGGTTGTTTTTACTTGGCTAATGCCCAAGCCACTCAGTTTTGTGGAAGTGAACCAGTACTGTATTTACCTTCTTCCTTTCATTAGGGGACTTCAGCAGAGCTCTGGGACCATTGTTAATTAATTCTAGAGAGAAGGAAATGGCCTGATAGAAGTCTCCCTCGTTTCCAAGTTTCTGGCACAAATACTTGCCACCTGACAGACCTTTTTTTTTTTAAAGTTTATTAATATTTTGAGTTTCTAACCTTTCTTGTCCCTTATGTTTTAAGCAGTCGTATTTACTTTTATTTATTTGTTTATTTTGTGTGCATACACATCTGTTCAGCACAGCACATTTGTGGAAGTCAGAGGACAACTGTGGGAATCTCTCCTTCCACTATGTGAGCCAGGATTAGTAGCAAGTGTCTTCACCCACTAAACCATCCCACCTGCCCTCCTATTGCTTATCTTAATCCACTTTGTCAAAGACCTTTTTAAATTTCATAGAGTAAGAGAGCATACCATCTTGATTGGGCTTTATTTCTTTTTAATGTCAAAAACATCATATGTAAGTTCTGCGGTAGTTAATTACACGCTGTAAATGTTCTTTAACTCTGCTCTCACAAACATGGAAATGCATGCTTATGAAATATGAAGTAATTTCACACAAGTAGATACATATTTCCTGGATAAGTATGGGTCTTTACAAAAAGGCACTGTTTTCTGCAGTGTGGAATTAGTGCAGCAGTAAAGATGAAAAGCTTAACCAGTGAACTCAGAACCACTCTGAGCAAAATGGATAAAAAAACAACAATTGACTAAGTCATTTCCTCCATCAGCATGTTGGAACTGGGACTGGGAAAGTCAGGCAGCATGAAGTTGTGACAAGGAACTCACAGCTTTGAGAAGCTGTGTTAGTCATCTTCCTGTTATTGTGACCAGTCACCTGGGACAGCTTACCAAGGGGAAGGAGAGGTCAGCAGGTGTGGTGTCGCTGGCCTGTTACCCTACCACTTGGAAGACCAAAGCAGGAGAAGGTGAGGCCACTTCCTTCATGGCCCCAGAAAGCAAAAGAAGAGAAAGGGGTCTGGAATTCAGTGTGCCTCCAAGGTCACGCCCACCGTGACTTAGCTCCCCTCTGTTATGCCTCGTACACCAAAAGTCCCACCAAGTCCTTCTGTTCTTGTAGAGCCTCCGCAGAGCAGAGTGGAGACCAAGCCTTCAGTACGGTGCGTTAGCCTCTGGGAAATGTCCACAATGCTAGCTGTAACTGAAGCCACGTCTGGTTGTCTGGTTCACAAGAACCCAGAGAAGCTAAAGGAGCAAGCCAGTAAGAAGGGGATAGTAAAGCAGACGGGGAAGGACAGATGCTTCAGAAAACCACCCTGGCAGTGCTGTAAGTTAGGGGGTCCTCAACCTACAACCTGTCAAACTGGCCATCTGTCCATTTTACAAATAAAGTTCCATTGGCTCACGTTCCACATATTTTACGGCAGAAAATATGTGGTCCTCCTGGTCTGCGGTTCTCACTGCTTGCCCTTCACAGGGAAAGCTTGCCAGTTCATTTCTGGTTTAGCCTGTTCTGCTATCATTGACTGGAGGGCGATGTCACACCTCTGTCTATATCATAAATTCTCTGACTTGCTTAAGCCTTCACAAATGGCTTTTGTTTTGCACGAAGGCAAGAACCCAAATGATTTCGCACTTAATCTGTAACATTCCAAGGACTATTTGAAGATTTTTGTCATAATAACTCTGGGTTTTTTTTCCTCACCTTGGTTTAAAAAAAAATTGATTTCTAGAAATTATATGCGACACAAAATATATTCTCACTCCAGGAACCAAGTGAGGAAGTAGAGACCCAGAGTTAGAAAACAAACTGGAGGGATGCCTCAGAGCTACTTAGATTCTCATCTGCAGATAGAGCAGCCAGGCAAACCTTGATAACAAGACTCAGTGGGTCAGAGTTGCTGCCCTGTCCAGTTGGGCTTGATCTCGCCCAGAAATGACGCTACACCATCTGCCAAGACCCTTAGCTTTTCAGGGAGAAAACCAGGGGCCCTTTAACTCTATAAGGAAATTGATGGATCCTTTCTCAAAAAGAAATGCTCTTAATGGTGTATCCAAAATCAGAATTAGACTACAAAGAAAGTGATACTATCACAAAAAGTTACCAGAATTTCAACACACATTGGTACGGGTGTGTGCCTCCTCCTAACTGCGCTCAAAGATCACAGAGCTGCCATGGGTTTGAAGTAATAATGGGGAAATTTAAGACATTTACAACAACCTGAAAACATGAAAATATTGTGACTTCTACTGGTAACAAGCCATGAGTGTTGTTACTACAGACTGCTCAGATGCAGGAGACAAGAAACTGGTGACTTTTAGTTAGCAATCGATGACAATACAAAGATGTGATTTTTTTTTCTTTAGTCAGGTTTATGAACCTTCTAATTTCCACTTATAAGGCCCTTAGGCTAGGATGAGAAGAGGCTCCAGGAATCCTAGGTTGAGAAGTACTGGTATCTGCCTGTATTCAAATGTGAGAAGCAAGAGAATTGGGAAGGAACAAGGTGTTGAAAAGCGCGGAGCAAAGCACAATCAGAACGGCATGAAAGGGAGACTACAGTAGCACAGGACCCAGAGAGGTTCAAGTTTCAAAAAGGTGACAATAGCTGATGGGTAGCCAACAGCTAAAGGAAACAGACCGCTGGCAATCACACTCAACTGCCACGTCACGGATGTTTGGGCCGCACCTCTGTTTCAGCCCAGCATGACCTAGTGCAGCTTGAATCCCACTTATGGAATAGATGGCAGGGCTCGACAATATATCCCGGCGTCCCAGGTCCTCCTTCAGGATGTTGCAGGCGGGATGTTGGAAACGTAGAAATGTAATGAAAGCTGTTTGATGCCGTGAGAAGGGAATGAGAAGCCTTGTGTAAGCTGGGGCAATAACACATCTAAAACAATGGACAAGGAGAGGAAGTTGGTCCAGGGTGGAAGCCACTGTGACTAAGAGAGACACGAGCTAAGAGACAGCCATGGCCTCACTTCCACCCTTCATTTGCATGGACCCATGTCTGTCAATTCCTACCCATAAATTGCTGCTGAAATAGTCTGACTTTTCAAAGTCATCTTGATCCTTACTGACGCACTGAGACTAAACCATCTGCCTGTAACTCCACCCTCCTCTGCCTTCATTAGGCACTTACATATGAACACACCCCCACACAGACACACAGACACACACAACTGGAGATAAAACTAATCCCTGAAAATTGATAATTGCTTAAATAGTTCTAGGCAACACAGACTATAGAAATTTCTAGTACTAAATTTTAGTTACTAGTTTACTCTCTTGTAAACAATTGCCATGTTATAATAAACATTACATTTTGCATTTAGGTCCTAGTTGAATTCAGAAACTATTTTTTGATTCTTCAGAAATACGTTAATGGTTTTTCTGAATTCAATTTAACTTCTCATTATTCCAGGCTTATAAGGCCATTTGTGACAATTGCAACAGCAAACGTGTAAGAAGATGTTTATATAGAGACATAATTATAGAAAATCAAAGTGTTGTAGCAATTATCTTTTATTGTTTTCATGAAGTTTTGAAAGACCTACTAGATGAGGATTATGAACATTTGGTGTTAGTGCTTTTTTTTTTTTTTTTTAAATCCAGAGTCTCATATAGCCTGGCTAGTTTCAAAGGGATCCTCTTGTCTCCAGCCTTCCCAGTGTTAGCATGTCAGAAATGCACCACTTTTCCTGTCTTTGTGTGTGTGTGTGTGTGCTTTTTAATACTAGAAGACGTGAGATTATGGAAAGAATAGCAAGGTCTTCTTTTAATTCCTCAACTCTTTCCTAAAACTAAACCCACAGGTAAATTAGAACAAAGAACAATTTGACATCAATTCATCATTCCTTCTCGGTACTTAGCATCTGCCTCTCCCCAATCATTCAGAGGCAGCTTAAACTGCAGGTACCACTGTGCTCTGCCCAATATGCCCTGTTTTGCAGCCAGAGCTTTGGGGTTAAAACAGCATCCTTCAAAGGGAACCCGTTTCTGTACCATGTGGTTGGAATTCCTTTAACACCGAAGTCTGAGGAAGGATTCTTCGGGAGCGTAGCTTACCGGTGCCGAGCAGCTTTGCTCTCACCAGGTGTCACTGAGTCCTTGACAAGATGAAACACTCATTAATGGAAGGCAGGCCATCTGGTGCTAATCTCTCTCTCTTGCAACTCAGACGTATTTGGAAAATTTATTAAATTCTTCAGAGAACAACATAGTAAAAGAAATGCATTGCCGTTGTGTTCAGTTTACCTTCGCTGGAAATAGATCACTTTCAAAAGCCCACTCAATTTTGAATCTCTCCGTTAGCAACCCATCAGACTCCTCCCTTCAGCAAGTTTGAATAACATTTTTCAGGTCTGGAAAAATGTTAATAGTGTTTCTGCTTTCTTATCTAAAATGTGAGCCGTCTGCGATTCCCTTGAAGAGAATCTTTGTAATACGGGCAAACGTTTCCAGCAGAAAAGTCAAAGTTTGAGTGTTTCTAAGGCCCCCAGTGTCTGCTCCCTTCTGTCTGCTGTTAGGAGTAGCTCAGGTGGGTGTGTACGCGTGCCTGTGAGTCAAGGTCAGGGGAAGGCCAGTGCTGGAGAGGACATTTTTCAGTACTGAGTAGCAACCTGTCACTCTTAAAGATTTCTTTGTTTCCCTCTGTTTCCCTCAGTCCATCTCTGCTCCACATCATTTGACTTGGCCAAACCTGACAAACTTCCAGCAACAGTAGTGACACTGAGTCACTTCATTCGAAGAGGTAACAACATGCACAGGAAGATGCAAAGAGCAGGACTTTACTGCTCATGTCTCTGCAGCCTGGAAGGGTCCAATTAAAGCATCAGGAGGTTCGGTGTCCAGTGAAGGCCTGTTTCCTGCCTCATAATGCGGTTCTGTCACTTGGGCCTCATAAAAAAGGGCTTATTAGCTGCCCAAACAAAACTATTACTACCACTTGCTCCTCTTCCTTTTCTTCCTCCTCTTCCTCTTCTTTTTCTTCTGCCAGTCAGGAGAGTAGACAGTCCACTGGTGATGTCCTTGCTCCATCCGAGACTGACTTCTGGCCCCCCTATGCATGGGCACAGGCTTTAATTTAATCTGCACTTTAACCGCCCGTTTCCAAACACAGTCACCTCCAAAGTGCTGCAAGTGGAGAATTCCAACCTGTGAATTAGGGGGCGGGGACACAACTCTCCCCATTACAGTGAGTGTGTAAGATGAGTTTACAGTGAGTGTTTAAGATGAGTTAGCGATTAGAGGTTCCCTGAGTCCGTTCTTTGTGTCTATAGTGAAGTGCCTGACGCTGGGTCATTTTCAGGAAAAGATCACAGGTCTGAGTTCCACAGCATCCATTGCGCCAGCTCTGCTAAGACCCCTTGGAGGTTGGCACCATAGTAGCAGAAGATGGAGCAGGAGAATTCATGGTAAAACGGGCCCCGAAGAGGCAGGTCTTCCAGGATCCCTTCATAACACACGCCCCCAAGAACTCTACCACTGAGCGACATTCCCAGCCTAGTCTCCCAACAGTCCGTCCCTCAATACTGCCTCCCTGAAATCTAGCACATGAATCCTTGGAGGAGAACCCAGCCCGGCAAGCCAGAGCGATGTGGCGCTAACACGGGTTGTCTTTAAGACCAGCACAGACTCTGAGTTCAGCTGCTTTTGTTGCCTTTTTAAATCTTTTGCGAGGATCATTGTTTACAGCTCTATGACTATGATCCTGAGAGAGCTACAGACTCTCATCACATGTCAATTTCTTTCACTGTAATAAAACAATAAACCGATACTTCCCAATTAAAAAAATGAAACACCCTAAAAAATAAAATAAAATAAAACCCAAAGTCCGCATTAAACTCCTAGCGAGGGTGCAAGGGGACACAGCAGGATGAGGAGGGGGGGGGAGGAGTTGTGCGCTGTAGGCTTCGGAGGAGAGCATGGGAAAGTCGCGGAGCGCTGATAAACATGCCCTGAATGTCATTCTGTGGAATAGGAAACATTTGCTTTGAAAACGGGCATTTCGGCTTCATCGAACTTCCAAACACCAGGGAAATTCTGTGGGTCTTCGTCTGCTTTTGAAGTTGCCTTAAAGATAGCTTGACAGGAAAAAGTTTTGCACTTGTGTCTGCTAGAGGCCACGTCAAAGCCCCAGCCCTCATCCATTTCATGTAAATAGAGCACAGCCCTGTGGTTAAAAAGTGGGGGGAGAGCAGAGCAGAGGCAGCTGGGTCCTATCTGTCCTCATCTCCTCCAAGGGTAAGTGGGCCTGGCAGGCAGCATCCTGGAGGCCTCGGCTGTACCTGGCATTTCCTGCTCAGCCCATCTGGAAAGCTTTAGCTGGAGTCCAAACCTCAGAGGTCTGAGGGGACAAGAGAGGGTAAATAAAAGTCTAAGGCCCACAGCAAAGTGGTACAAGCTGAGCTGCTTTGTTGAGAGACTAGTAAGGGTACTGAACTGCTGAGCATTGGTGCAATATCAAAGGGACAGGCATGTGCTGCTAAAAACACACATAAACGTGAAAAAGAAAGAAGAAAAGGTGGGAGGGAGGGGAGGCAGAAGGAAGGAAAGAAGGAAGGAAGGAAGGAAGGAAGGAAGGAAGGAAGGAAGGAAGGAAGGAAGGAAAGAAATTAATGATGGAAAACAAAGATTTAAGGGTATTTTCTATGTGTAATCTATGCGAACGTCAGGAAGAAGGGCAGATAAGGGGATTTGGTGACCCTAAGTCTGTCTGTGAGCTGCTGGCGTGAGCTTTAGATTGAATGAGGAAGAGTTAGTTGTAACAGGGGCAACAGGTACATAAAATGAAGCTGCCTTGGTTAAAATGCTTCTGATGATCTCTGGTTTGGGTCATCAAAGTGGTCTATCACTGTCCTCAATTGGGTAGAGCAATCTAGTTACTGTGAGGTGATCACTTCTGTTCTAGGAACCTGTCTCTCCAGCAGAGAAAATTTCCCTCATTGTAGGCATGTTCTGTCTTATAAGGCTTCAGAGTTTTTGCAATCTAAGGTTTGTATCAATTTTTTTTTTTTTTTTTTTTTTTTTTTTTTAGTTTTTGAGACAGGGTTTTGTAGGAGCAGTGGGCTGCATCCTGCCACCTGTATAGCTTTACTCGAAATAATTACACAGAAACTGTATTCATTTAAACACTGCCTGGCCCATTAGTTTCAGCCTCTTATTGGCTAATTCTCACATCTTGCTTTAACCCATATTTAGTAATCTGTGTAGCACCACAAAGTGGTGGCTTACCAGGAAAGATCCTAACCTGCATCTGTCTCAGGTCGGAGAATCATGGAGTCTGCTCAACTCTGCTTTCTTTCTCCCACAATTCTGTTCTGTCTTCCCCACCTACCTATGTTCTGACCTATCAGGCCAAGCAGTTTTCTTTATTAATTAACCAATGAAAGCAACAGATAGGTAGAAGATCCTCCTACATCAGGGTTTCTCTGTGTAGTCTTTGTAATGATCTGTCCTGTCCCTTTAAGAGACAAGCCCCTACCCCATCTACCACTAAGGCGGATCTTCCTTCTGCTTCCATCTGAGTCCCTTCCTTCCCCCATCTCAGAAGCAGCTTCTGTCTTTTTCCCTTCTCCCCACTTCTCCCCTTCCCCCCTATGTTTCTCTTTTGCTCTCCCTGACTCTCTCTCTGTTCTTCTTCCTTCTTCCCTTTCCCTTCCCCCCTTCCCTTCCATAACACACTAAATAAATATCCAGCCTCAGTCTGCATGGCATGCCTATCCATCTGTCTCTCACCCATTGTGGGCTGTGGCTCCTTGTGGGACTGGCTGCCCCACCAAGGTCTCTCACCCACCTTGAGGCTCCCTGCCTGGACCAGCCTGCCATTTATTTTTGACATTACCTGGGACTAGCTCTGTAGACCAGGCTGGGTTTAATTACAGAGATATTTCTGCCTCTGCCTTTGCTTCCTGAGTACTGGAATTAAAGGCTTATGCCACCACTGCCCTGTAGTAGAACTCTTGGCACCTTCAGCACCAAAAGGAAATGACACAAGGAAGGTAAACAGGTCTTCTGTTCCCTAATAAAAGGTTTCTCAGATGATACAGTAAGCCAGATCAAGCCAAATTTAAAAAGTGTAACAATGGGTTTATTTGAGCAAAGCAACTCTCAGGTGATTCTCCAGTCTCAGAGATTGAGGGTGAAGACACACACTGGAACTAAAGCGGGGAGATTCTATAGGTTTTAGGCAAGGAGTAATAATGTATCCTGTATCCACAAACCAAAGCTGGGTTTGTGTCCAAGTATGGCCAAAACCTGAACATTCTAGGAGGGGAATTGGGTGACTGGCAACTTTAGGGGAGGAATCTGCTATAGCATCCAAGAATGTAGAACTGGATTTTTTGGTGCCTTCACTCTGTTAGGAGATTCTCTGACAGGGTGGGATTTGGAAGACAGGAACTGGGGTTTCTCTGACAAGTGCAGGAGTGAGTTGAAGGTTCCAACTGAACAGTAGGTACTACCTGTATTTCAGGATATTTGATCATACTGCAAACCCTTGAGTTTGTGTTAATTAAATTAAACCTTGGATCAGGAGGCAGAGCCAGCAACTAGTTAAGAGGGTCAGAGAGTCAGTAGGTTCCCCGAAGACAGCTGCCCAGGAAGTAGTGTAGGACACAGCCACAACAAGCTCAATAGAAGTCTCAGTAGTTATCCCTAAGGCAATACCTGGTTGCAAGAAAGATCACAAACTGAACTACCCAGGCACCACTGAGGAACAGACCATCCAAAGGAAATTCCTAACATTCCAACTGTCGGAGATAGGATCACCTGCCAGCACACACCTATTGCTTTTCACCAGGACACCCGTAGACATAAGTCAGCCAGTCAGGATTAAACACATCACCGCGAACTCTACTAATGTAGCTTTTCTGGGTTTTGCCTTTAAATCCTGCTCTCTAGAAGGGTGGGGTACCTCCTCTTGCTTCTATGCTGACGAGGTCCCTGTTGGCTTGTATATGTGCATGATAATAAACCTTGCTTTTGCATTTCACTGAGCAGGTCTCCCTGGTAGCCTTTTGGGGTTCCCACAGACTGGCACAACAGTAGTAGAGAGGGACCTTGTCATTTTTGGTTTGGGGCAGTGGAAATACACTCTTGCTGGGTCTCCCAGCAAAAAAAGGAAGGAAGGTCATCTGGTTACTTCCCAGCAACTTTAAGCTAGCAGGTTTTCACCCTGACATCTGCCTCCCTAGTCTTTATTGGGAAAATAGAATGATAGAGTCTTGGTTAAAAACTACATTTGGCTGCAGAGGCAAAGACAGTTCCTGCCAAACCTTGGCCTGAGCAGCAGGCCTGTGATTGTGAAGCCGACATCAGGAGCTGAAACAGCAGTAGGTTTAAAGCATGCCTGTTTTAAAATGGATGTACCTTGGTGATTGACAAGGCCCAAATCTGTTCAGAGTAATGCAAGAAGGGATCTGATCTGAAACAAAGAAGACACACAGAAATGAAGACATCCATGCCAGGTTTTCTTCCTGCTTTGGTTGCCATGTGGGCCCAAGGGAGGCGTCAGTGGCTTATAGCAGAAGCAGCTTATTAGTTTCTATTATAATCCATGATGAAAATTTTCAGGGGTGAAGTTTCAAGGTGTCTATTACATGTGGTAAAAAAAAATGAACTTAATAGTGAATACAAACGTACCAAAGAATCAAAAATGACACAATACCAATGATTATTGAATCAAAGCATTATTTTCATAATCAAACATCAAGGGAAAATTCACATGCAAAACAGAGTCAGAGATGCTATCTGGCTCCTAGAAAATAGATAGTCTATGCATTTTTTTTTCTTTTCTGAATCATGGAGCAGAGCTCCCCAGAGTGACAAGGTAGCAAGTGAGGGGTTCTAGGGATGTGGAGATCATCTTCTCTAACTTCAGAATGCAGCCTGGGAGGAGAGCTGGTCCCTGAACACAAAGGTCGTTAAAGAATCAGGCCCTGCCTTCTTGAGGCTTTGTTCTTCTTCCCAGGAGACTGAACTCCAGAACGAGAAAGACACAGATGCAAAGCTTTCTGTGCATCATGGGCGAGGCAATTAATGTCATTGAGATGTGTCCTTGTGGTCAGTTAACAAGGATAGTAAGCGATTCTCACATAGCCATGATGAGAATGCAGTGAGAAAAACATGTACTGAGGACTCCGAGGAGATTTGCCATGCTGCCTGGCCTTATTACTGGCCCCCAGAGCCTCTGCATCCTCCCTGTATTTTTCTGCCTCTGTGGCTTTTCCTCCAGATAACCGTTTCTGCATCCTTCTCACTGGAGTGTTCAGAGGAATGCCATGTAAATGATCAGGCTTCTCGTGGGTTCTTCTGACTCTGTCATCTGATAGGAGCCATGTGGGACCATTCTGCTGAGGAAAAAAATGTCACCAGCAGCTGTTCAGGGCCCTGCTGCCTTCCAAGCACAGCAGAAGGAGGTGGCTACAGCCTGCATTATCATCAAATAAAACCCCAAGAAATCAGGGGCAATTAGAAAACAGCTTTTTTTCTATAC